GTGCATATCCAACGTCATAACAGACAACAACGTCAAGAAACGTTTAAAACACGCACATGTGCGTGGCTTGAAAAATTCATTTCGTCACGACTCGTAAACTTCAAAACAAAAAAAAATTGTCGTAAAAAATTGTCGTAGTAATCAATGTAAATTGACAGTAGGGAGAAGGTCGATTGATACGTAGCACGCCATCAACTTACAACCGGCAATAGGCCCATTGAGCTTCTATGACGAATTTAAATTACAAATATCCCAGCCCATAAAGCGAATTTCTAAATTTCGGCTTCGTCGTAACATCGGTCTTGCAGTGTTGTACATATTTACAAAGAATTGTATTTAGTAGTCGTGTAGTTGCTTTAATTCCGATCACAGACAAAATTCCTTTTGACAAAAAATTCTGCTTGCGTTCAGCTTCATAATACAAGAAAGTTTTCTAATCGTATTGTGGGGACCAGGGGCCGTCAAAAGTTAGTTTACGTTAGATTAGGGTAGGGTCCTGCCACCAGGTATGTTTTGTCGGACAACACCGCGGATTTTGACATAACCAGATAGTTAAGGCGCGAGGGTAAGAGTCACTCCGAAGTCCGGGAATGAGCCTCTAAGGAGGATGAATGCAGAGTCAAATACAAATAACAAGAGTTTATTATCAAAAATTAAGTTCTAGATAACATTCTTAAAATCCGATTCAAGAAATCTGCCTATTTCTATCTATAAAACGAGAGGGTTGCCTAACAGGGGGGTTTCCGAACTACAACATACCAGGAAAAAGAGAGCCGTCTTCTCTTGTAAGTCCAGTCAGTCTCCTGATATATTTCTTTCTTCCCTTTTGCTTGGTCCTTCACTGATGTCCGCCGATAAATGGTGTTCGCTGCTAGTCGAAATTTCCTTGCGATTATGGCGGGATGGGTCCACTTATGTCTACTGTTGGTGTCCACCGTTGATGCCTTCCTTATATGGGATGGTTCTTTGAGAGTCTGGAGAGGCCGGTGCTTTCTACCGTTGTCTGCCGAGGAGCTCTGTCGGTGCCTGGATTTGTGTTTCTTTTATACGCTTTTCAGCGCAGAAGAGTTATCATATGGTTTACTATAGTATTGGTTTGGCTTTTGAGATGAGTCATTACGGTAGCAAAACTGTTTTAACTCTCTCTGACTTCATATAGTGATAGCGCTGAACTCCAAGGATGTCATCACTGACAAATCCCATCATTATTCATCGATTGTTTTGGTTACTGTTGTGCCTTGGAACAATGTTCGATTGCAGCTATGATCGGCGGGGGGCATGAAGTGGTGTTTTTCCCACTTTCTTTAAGTCTTATTCTTTTACAAATTTATTTAATTACTTAATTGTCCTCTCATCCTTTTCTTCGCATGTTGTGAGATTTATTGCCGTTAATTATTAATAAACTTCTTATTCTAAATTGTTTCTCTAAATCATTCTAAAGGTTGATATTATTGGAAATTTCTATAGGGAAGTCCCCAGAATCGGAAAAATAGGCAAATTTCCTCTTACACTTTGATCCATGTATAAACAATCTCGGTATCTTCAAGATGTGGGTTCAAAAGAAAAAGGATATAAAATAAATACAAAGTTTAAATGCAATAAAATCTTTAACTAATTAATTAAAGTGACAACAAAGTGGCTAAACTAAGATTATACAGATAACGTAAATACGTAAATAACAAATTAACAAATACATACACATACATATATATAGTAACAACAATTTTTGGTGTGGGGGAAATGGTAATCTTCACCTCATCAAATATGACTCTTACAGTTTTTTTTCAAATTTCGACTTTGAGACCCTCTGGACCAAAAAAAGTAAAAAAAAAAAAAAAAAAAAAAACAGATTCCGTTCATATGTATGTTGTGTTGTTGTCCTTCTGTGGCCGTTGGTTAACATCTATTTTGTTTAGTATCTCAGGATAAATTTGATAAGAGTATGTCTAAGGATTAGAGCTTATTTTAGTGTTAATAATAGAGAATATAAACATCAAACTTAAGATGAAAAAATTTATTTTCAACTATAGGCATTTTATAATTAACAGTTTTCTGATGCATATGTGAAATGACTATTTATAATAGATATTCATAACTTTTTGTTAACTCATATTTATAAATTATACGCTGCTAAACATGCAAATATTTTATTTAAACATTGCATAACCAATCATTAATAGGCCCACCAGCGGTTCCGTTCACTGAACACTCGGAGTTGGTCGTGAGTTTGCGCCTCGCCAGGACGGGCTGGCAACGTGGAGATTTCCGGGTTTTCTCCACGTCTGTAACGCCTGAATAGGAACCAGTTATCGTTAAAAAGAAAGGCAAATCACCCAAGTGTTGCATTGCCATAAATTAACACACACAATCACTATCATTTATAATGAATACACATAATTAATTTAATGTATAGTGGAATAATAATACAGTTGTTATGCTTTTCATTTATTACAGATAGAAATATATTTCATTCGGTAAATATTCAAATCGCAATAGTATATAGTTACGAAATCCATGTACAAACAAAATTTTTATTTTACACTACGCTTTAGCATTTACCGAAGAGCTTTCGAAAACAAATGTGTGGATTGAAAAATTTTGAAACACCTCTCGATTATTCTCTCAAAATTGTACAAAATGATCCACGTATTTTGTAAATAAAGATAAAAGTTTATTGCGTATTATGATTATCAATATAAAACGAAGAATCTTTTATCTGAAACATTTTGCAACGGATGCACTTATCAGAAATTATGAACGTTAAAAGTTTTATGCAGCTGACTAACCGCTCAGAACATCTGTAGATATCTGCAAAGTTTATTGAGAATATCATTAAGAAAATGGTGTTATTTTTATATTCAAATGATAAACTGATACAAAAAGACATTTCACAGGGTGTTCTAAATATTATTTCTACGTTTCACTTTTTGATAAAAATAATACATACTTTAATATATTTTCCAAGAAATGTACTCAAAATTTTTAAAACAAGCTTCTTGTTTTTTTCGCGTGGCTCTTTTTAAATTACTTAAATTAAATAGCGTAATATTAATCCTGGCAACGATACTGTTTCTCGGAGAGGTAGAATTACTTTTACATTATTGGCTAACAGATATGAAATAATCACACTATAGGGGAAGGCTTTTTTTGTAGAATCTCGTTACGTCAAAACAAAACGACGTAAACAAGCTTGTACCAATGATATTTCTTTGAAAAAAGAAAAATTCATTTCAAAATTTATTGCTATTGATCATTTAAATCATGTCCATTTGATCACAGACTATTGTGACTTCAGTAAAAAAAATTACCGTTTAATATTAAAATATTAAAAAGTATCTCGAAGGTTCTCGAAATCAAAATAGACTCTATAAATAAGATTTTTAGGAACTGGATCAAGCAGATAGGGGAAGGTGGTTCAAGATGGGGCCATGGGGTAAGACGGGGACATCTGTTTATTCGTGATTAACGCGCTTTTATCTAGATGTTATTTGGGAAACAAAATGTCAACCTCAAAAGGGATCGCGGGACGAGAGAACGTTCGAATCGCTCTCTTTGTTTGGAAGTAAGACAGTTTCGGCAATACTTCATCTAATTTTACGCCCGCTACAAAGTTTCTACAAAGTAAGCATAATTGCGAACTTTTACATTACTTTTTAGATGAAGATATTATGATATTCGAAGTAACCTTTAAGACTGAAATTGTTTAGATTTGAAATAAAGTTGACCCGTGTTCGCAGTCAGTATGAAAAGTGCACGTTGGAGCAAGATGGTGGGGGCAAGATGGTGTAGCCCATCTTGCTCCTACCATCTTGCCCAAGATTGGCCACGAGTTCTGCCGCTGGCTAGAGGCACTGCAATATAGTGCAGTGAACTAGTTTTAAATTCGTTGTCATTAATAATTCTATATCATTTTCTCGAATATATAAAATAATAAGTTTAAAAATGAACTTTTTATAGAAAATGAAATATTCCATGTTTAAATCATATCTAACTGTAATAAATTTATACAGTATATACTGTATTACTTTATTATTTATGTTTTTACGGTTTATTTCATTTGTGAAAATATTTTTTTTTAATTTAAATACTATCTTAACAAGAAATAAAATGTCAGATAACAATCGAAATAAAAATTTTTTTCAACGAAAAACATATCGTCCGCTTACAAAATAGCGAAACCGAGCATGTGCGAAGTGACAGCATTGTCTGGTAAAGTAAATACGAGTAAGTTCAAACTTTTATATTTATTTATTTGGAAAATAATAATAAATATAGCCGTTGTGATAAATGGGCACATTATTCTTGTGCCAATATTAAAGAAAACGACAGTTCAACCATTTCAACTTGTTTTTCTTGTATATAAAAGTGATATTCCCAGCTTACCCTACGGATGAAGCAAGATGATGCCTTTACATATAATTTTTAAATATTAAATTTTCTTGTTGTGATAAATGGGCACATTATTCTTGTGCCAATATAAAAGAAAANAATACATATATTTTGGCGGGTGTTTATTAATTCCACTGCATGTATCGAGTAGGGCCTTTATTAAATATAATTATCATATCAAATAAAAATTAGTTTTTTAATTGCTGAAATAAATTACTGACAAACTTATGAATTATAATTCTCTTTTTGCAAATATTTAATTTCTATTCTAAGAAGAGATTAATAACTTTGACAGAGCATTAATAAATGAATGTTTCATAAATTTTTATATTGTGCAACTTAAATTCTTAGTTAAAATAGTAACAACGTAAATAAAGAAAATATTTGTTATTAGAAAAATTCTTTCTATAAATTCAGAAAAATTCTGAAACTATTACTTTAAACCAAAAGGCAGCAAAAGATTGTAATTAAGATTAAGCTTAATAATGTATTTAAAATATTTCACAATTACGTTTATATCTAAATGTACGTAAATCTAATAACTATTAGAGAAAGAAAAATAAATATCTGGAGTATAAAATAGAATAAAAGAAAAAACAAAACTTTACACTTTAGATAACAGATAATCTATTTGTGATCTTACCTTCATTAAATTCTTCTGATCTAATTGAACCTCCCACAACATCGTTAAATTGTGAAAGCTTCGTGTTTATTTCAAATTCACTTTCATCAAACTGAAATGCGTCCAATTCATTTTCTCCTATTTCTTGATATAAACCAAGATCCCTTTCAGATTGCACATTAATAATTTTGTCTTTAAATATTTTACTAGAATTATTCAATGAAGAAATGTTATCTACGTGTTCATTCCAATTCGACGCAGGCCGTTCTTCAAAAATATTTGACATCTTATCCGATTTTGTTAAATCTGATATGTATGATTCAATATCAGGACAAGTGGCATTGACAGATGCCAAATCATATGTTTCATTATTTTCTGCTTGATATTGAGCCTTTATTAATATATTTTCATCGATATCACACTCGTCAAATATTTCATTTTGCTTCATATCATCAGAAAGTTCGTCTTCAATTGACATCGTATCTGACTCAATACTGTAACCACTTTCTGACAGATCATCTGTTGAGTAAGGCTCTTCTTCTTCATATATTATATCCGATACTAAAGAATATGTTTCGAGTTCAATAAAAGCATTAAATAATGGTCGGAATCTAATGTGTTCATGTTGATTTGAACTGATTTCTGCTGAAGAGACAGGAACATTTGTAATGTTTTCCTGAAAAATAAAATTACAAATTTTCTCATAAACTATAAAATCGTAAACATTAAGTATAATTTAATAAATATTTAACGGTTTTATTGTAATGGCCAACGTTTATAGACATCGTAAAGTGATTGAAATTTGCATTACAAATAACATTACTAAAATCGTATGTTTTCCATGTTAACCCATAAAAACAATAAAAATTAAATCACGATTAACAATAATATATTTATCGTTGTTGTTGTTCTTTTTGTTTATAGAATATTCTTCAATCTTTACATATTTTATTAAGAATTATATTTTCTCATTATATATCATTACATATATAAGTTTTAATCATACATATTTTTATGCAAATCAAAGTTTCACGTCAAATTAGATTTATTATTTATAAATACTTTAATATTCTTACAAGTAATAATTACACGAAATATTTTATAATTTAAAAAGGTAAAGAGCGAGTAAAATCATAATTTAATAAATACAGAATTTAAATACAGTATTTCCTAAAGCAGGTTATGTCAAACCCGGGGCTCACTGCACCCTTAATTTATCAGGCGCATTTTCATTTATTTCGGTAAAGTATGTCGAAATAATTACAGTATTTACGTTTCACTGAATACATTTTCATGTCGTATGAAGTGATTGGTTAGGTAATTTGGAACTTTCCAATCAAAACATAAGGTACGTGGTCTGTCATTTTGATTGTTTCACTTCAAACATTTATGTTATGAAATGATGTTATTAGTGACAAAGAATAAGTATCTTTCATCAGGTAGATGAAGAATACACAGTGAAATTTCTTCCCCAAATTCCGTGTTTTTCAGTTANATTTATGTTATGAAATGATGTTATTAGTGACAAAGAATAAGTATCTTTCATCAGGTAGATGAAGAATACACAGTGAAATTTCTTCCCCAAATTCCGTGTTTTTGAGTTAGTTTGTAGTATTTCCTACGACTCGATTAGACGTGATCCGGGTTCGTTGGAAGAACACCTTCACACTCAAAAGACAATATTTGGATTTGAAATCTATTTTGCTCTGGAGAGTGGCTCAACTGCATCATATGACCTGCCTCAGTACTTACTCGCCTCTCAGATAGTTACCAGAGGAGTATGCTCTCTCTAAACTCAACGGGCTTTCCAAGAGCCTGATATTCTCTTCCCCTTCTCTCCTCCTCCCGTTCGCTTTGCAATTTAAAGGTTATATGGACGGAAACTTCCGACCAATCACAAACCTTCTTTGTATGAACAGCTTTCACCCGGTCCGCTTTTATCGGTGATAGTGAAGCTTACATTTACGTCCGCCGATATTCCGACCCACTTGTTTACGTCCAGAAGTTCACCACTTGGCAAGTAATCATCACCGGACCACACGTAAATCAAATTAGCGAGGTTGGCGCTTTTACTCTTGATAAATAAACGTGCAACAACGTTGCACGGAATCAGTGAAATAATGTTACCACGTGAAATAATTTATGTAAATTTAATCTTACAGCAGGAGACTCTTTCCTCTTTGTTTACAACATTGTTTACAAGCCAATACTTTATTGACACTTAATCATTTTTAGTGACTCGAGTCTAGTCCTAATACTTAAGTCGAAGCAACTTTTTATTTTTTGTTTTTTTTTCTGATTTGACTAAATTCTCAACTTATCTAGAAAACTGTTATGCGTGTGGGGTAGTACATAGTCTACTATTGTAAACAATTTTTTTCCTACATAAAAAACATCATTCTTGTGAAAGAAGTANTACTCGCCTCTCAGATAGTTACCAGAGGAGTATGCTCTCTCTAAACTCAACGGGCTTTCCAAGAGCCTGATATTCTCTTCCCCTTCTCTCCTCCTCCCGTTCGCTTTGCAATTTAAAGATTATATGGACGGAAACTTCCGACCAATCACAAACCTTCTTTGTATGAACAGCGTTCACCCGGTTCGCTTTTATCGGTGATAGTGAAGCTTACATTTACGTCCGCCGATATTCCGACCCACTTGTTTACGTCCAGGAGTTCACCACTTGGTAAGTAATCATCACCGGACCACACGTGGATCAAATTAGCGAGGTTGGCGCTTCTACTCTTCATAAATAAACGTGCAACAACGTTGCACGGATATTTATCAGTGAAATAATGTTATCACGTGAAATAATTTATGTAAATTTCAACTTACAGCAGGAGACTCTTTCCTCTCTGTTTACAACATTGTTTACAAGCCAATACTTTATTGACACTTAATCATTTTTAGTGACTCGAGTCTAGTCCTAATACCTAATTCGAAGCAACTTTTTATATTTTGTTTTTTTATGATTTGACTAAATTCTCAACTTATCTAGAAAACTGTTATGCGTGTGGGGTANTTCCAATCAAAACATAAGGTACGTGGTCTGTCATTTTGATTGTTTCAGTTCAAACATTTATGTTATGAAATGATGTTATTAGTGACAAAGAATAAGTATCTTTCATCAGGTAGATGAAGAATACACAGTGAAATTTCTTCCCCAAATTCCGTGTCTTTCAGTTAGTTTGCAGTATTTATTACGACTCGATTAGACGTGATCCGGGTTCGTTGGAAGAACATCTTCACACTCAAGAGACAATATTTGCAGTTTATTTACAAATTATATAGAGTGTACTGTACATGTTAAAAAACAGTAAATACAGGATACACAAAGCGTGGTGCTTCACGTAACAGATTGGCTTTTGGAAACTATTTGGCTATAGAGAGTGGCTCAACTGCACGATACGACCTGCCTCAGCACTTACTCGCCCCTCAGATAAAATGTATGCCAGAGGAGTATGCTCTTTCTAAACTCAGCGGGCTTTCCAAGAGCCTGATATTCTCTTCCCCTTCTCTCCTCCTCCCGTTCGCTTTGCAATTTAAAGGTTATATGGACGGAAACTTCCGACCAATCACAAACCTTCCTTGTCTGAACAGCTTTCACCCGGTCCGCTTTTATCGGTGATAGTGAAGCTTACATTTACGTCCGCCGATATTCCGACCCACTTGTTTACTTCCAGAAGTTCACCACCTGGCAAGTAATCATCACCGGACCACACGTGGATCAAATTAGCGAGCTTGGCGCTTCTACTCTTGATAAATAAACGTGCAACAACGTTGCACGGATATTTATCAGTGAAATAATGTTACCACGTAAAATAATTTATGTAAATTTAAACTTACAGCAGGAGACTCTTTCCTCTTTGTTTACAACATTGTTTACAAGCCAATACTTTATTGAAACTTAATCATTTTTAGTGACTCGAGTCTAGTCCTAATACCTAAGTCGAAGCACCTTTTTATTTTTTGTTTTTTTCTGATTTGACTAAATTCTCAACTTATCTAGAAAACTGTTATGCGTGTGGGGTAGTACATAGTCTACTATTGTAGTACATAGTCTACTGTTGTAAACAATTTTTTTCCAATATAAAAAACATCATTCCTCTGAAAGAAATAGGTTGACTTATTCTCATTTAACTAACATTCCTAGAATAAAGACTAGTACCATAAAAGCAGATATTGATAATATTAGAAAAGGAAGGCAATGTCAAAATTCGCATTAAATTTGTTTTTATTTTGTGTGAGTGTCATTTTTTACTGTCTATAACAGTATTTTTGTAATTATGTATACTTGTTATTAAAATTAGTTATTCACATTTTAAACTTTTTAAAAGCATATATTTATCTAAAGTACCTTCGTGGCCAGCTGAATATACCTAAATTTTTAATTAGGCCCATTAAGAAAAAGGTTGGACAACATGTACTAAACAATCTTTAATACAGTACTAAAACAACATTGTACGGATATTTATCAGTAATCAATGTTTAAACGCTATCAGATTTTAAAAATTTATGTGAAATAATTTAGGTAAATTTAAACTTACAGCAGGAGACTCTTCTATTTCATTGGATTCAGTAAAATATTCTTCATTTATGCAGTCTGCAATTATATTTTCAAACAGTTTTTGTTCTTCTTCTTGCGTAAGGTTTTTCACTGCATTATATACAGCAGAACCGTCATGATTCGAGTCAATTTCCTTCATTTCAGAAACTAAAGTATAACAAAACATTTAAAAAATTAACAAAAGTTAGGTTAGCAGAATACAAGAATTATTAAGCATTAGAGAAAAGTAAACAAAAAAGATTTAAAATTTGTACTGCAGTAAATTTATCAAATCAGTATTTAAGAAAGATCTTTTTGAGATTTATTTGAGAATATAACCTTTTTGGGTTTTTTATTTACAGTATAATTTTAATGCTTGGCGAAGGTTAAAAAGTATTATTAGTATATAAGTATTATTATTATTGTAAAAAACTGATAACTTCTGGAATAAACTGTATTTTTTTTTGTATTATATTAAGTTATTTGTATATAAATGCATTATAATCGTATATCTACCTTTAGCTATAATATTAATGTTTGTTTGTGCAATGTTGATATAAAATAACTGCATTTTTAATAGTTTATAACAGCGCTGTCCAACTGGCGGCCCGCGGGCCATATACGGCCCGCCAAATAATTTTTACGGCCCGCGAGTACATTTTACTATAAATAAATTTATGTTACTAAATTATTATTATTAATATTAAAATTATTTTACTACCGTGTTTCCCCGAAAATAAGACAGTGTCTTATATTAATTTTTGCTCTGAAAAATGCGCTAGG